AGAATAATCAAGTCTTAGAGACTTGACTAGACTTGATCAATCATCTCCATCACCAGAGAGAACATCGAATAAGAATGAATTTGGGACTCTTCTGCGGCCTTAAATAGCGGCTGTCTGGGTAGGCGTGTCCAAGGGGCGTGCCCTGGTTGTGTACGCGGTTGAAGGGGCATTCGTGGTGGAAAAGGATGACGTGGCATTATTACATCATACAGTGGCGGCAACCCGTCAAACGAAACAGAAATGTGGTTCTTCTCTGCGTCTCTTATCTCTCTCCTTTGGTGTGTCATTTTAGTCTCCGGCGGGACACCGCCATTTGTACCATTTTTGTTTCTTTGGCGGTACGCCGAAACCTTTTATAACTTTCATGTATTCTCCGCAGTGAGTCGAAGAGATGTAACAGGAGAGAGGGGTTAACAGACGGGTGCTCTACGATTTAATAAGATTTTAGACGGATTCTCTCTCAAAATCGGGAATATAGCTGTAAAGAAAATTTTAGACTAGTTGTTGTTCGCTGATATAATATATATTTAAAGTCGGAACACTTCTGAAAAAAAAATTCACATTCGGATATATATTATATCAGCGAACAACAACTAGTCTAAAATTTTCTTTACAGCTATATTTCCGATTTTGAGAGAGAATCCGTCTAAAATCTTATTAAATCGTTTAACACCCGTCTGTTGACCCCTCTCTCCTGTTACATCTCTTCGACTCACTGCGGAGAATACATGAAAGTTATAAAAGGTTTCGGCGTACCGCCAAAGAAACAAAAATGGTACAAATGGCGGTGTCCCGCCGGAGACTAAAATGACACACCAAAGGAGAGAGATAAGAGACGCAGAGAAGAACCACATTTCTGTTTCGTTTGACGGGTTGCCGCCACTGTATGATGTAATAATGCCACGTCATCCTTTTCCACACGAATGCCCCTTCAACCGCGTACACAACCAGGGCACGCCCCTTGGACACGCCTACCCAGACAGCCGCTATTTAAGGCCGCAGAAGAGTCCCAAATTCATTCTTATTCGATGTTCTCTCTGGTGATGGAGATGATTGATCAAGTCTAGTCAAGTCTCTAAGACTTGATTATTCTGGATCACCTATCCATCACTAGGAATACATCTTTGGATCCCTGTTTCGGATCCTTGTTCTTTATTTTTTTCAAAATTTCTACGCCCCTCTTCTGTTATTAGAATTTTTGATTCCGGTACCATATTGAAGGTAAGCAAAACGAGCCCTTTTAAAAAGAACGAGGCAATATATCATTCAACCAAACGAGTCTCCGAAATGACAGGTTATCGTTCCAGAACTCCCTAAAAGCTGCCTACAAGAAGATGTATATCCACCGGGACATCAAACGGGAGAACATCTTTGTGCACCGATCTGGACACATCAAGCTGGCTGAATTCGTGCTCGTCAGACGTATGCCGAGAGGTGAATCATTGAATAACCCCTGCGGGACCCACTACTCCCCAGAAATGAAGCAAGCTCCAATTTCTTATGGACTACCAGCTGATGTTTGGGCCGTTGGAATCGTTATGTATGAGCCCGGGAAGTTGTGTATGACGACTTCGAGTTGACGGATCCACGAACCAAGGAGCTGCGGAATCTCGGAAGGCGGAGCAAACCCTGTAAAGACATGTTGAAAGCCTTGCTCGCTGAGGATCCAGAGGAAAGACCAAAAATCAGACATGTCAAAAGGATGGAGTTCTTCAAAAGAGTGGATTGGAATATGGTGACCGAGCAGGCCCCTCTAAGGATCCCAGTGCTTGATGACGACAACGATCTCCGACACTCCCCGCAAGACGAGAAAGCCAAGGATCCGGTGGATGATCAAACGGACTACATCCAAGTGTGGAATAATCTTTTTATTCCTCAAGATACTAAAGTGAGTGGAAAATTTTATACAGTACCGGTTGATAAGACATACAAAAATGGCATTTTCTGTTGGTTTTGGGCCGTTTTGACTAACTTTCATGAGTCTGTAGCTCTGCTGTTTGGTTTCCATCCATTTTGAAAATATTGGAGGGTGTCAAACAGAACTACATTGAAAACTTTGCTTCCGCAGAATTTTTTGAAATTCCCTAGTTTTTCAGCTATTAGCCGATTTTTGAAAGACACCTCTTTTCGGCGAATTTTTGTGCGGAAAACATAGAAAAACCCGGTGTTTTTCGAAAATCGGCTAAAAGCTGAAATACTAGGCATTTTCAAAAAATTCTGTAAATGCAAAGTTTTCAATTTAGGTCTGTTTTTTACTCTCCAAATTTTAAAAGTAATCGGAAACTTGACAGATGAGCTCCAGACTCCTGAAAATGGTCAAAATCGAGCGAAAAATGCATTTTTGTGTTTCTTATTGACCGATGATTTACTTTAAATATCGTCGACTGTGAGTCAGTTTATCTCGGTTCCCTTAAGTAATATCAGAAAACGGTCAAGTTGAAAACAGTTGGAAATTTCATAACAAACATTTTATCAGTTGACATTTTTCTGATATTTCTTTAAGGCACTGACATAATTTAGCTCAAAATGAAACACCAACTACTCGAAATTCAAAACGTCGAGGAGTTGAACAGGAAATTCGAAATCTTGAAAATTCTTTAAAATTATGTATTTTTTTAGGTCACTACTCCATTGTGATGTTAACTCTTCGATTACGGCTTCCATCAACCCATCGTCTTCAATCCTTCGACCGCGTTAATCTTCTTCATTCTCCGATTCTCCACTGGCCATCTTAATTGTTCCCGATCCTTCCATCCATTTCTTTAGCTTGTTTCGTTCATGATCGTTCCTCTCATCCATCTTACCATTTTCAATTTTTCTAACCTTCCAATTCCCCTGAATTTACCTTCAATAAAAATTTCCTTACAAGGGAAGTGTTTTCAGAAAGGCTTTGAGAATTTTTTGAAAGTTTCAGTACTTATTTTTTGAAAATTTCAGTACTTATTTTTTGAAAATTTCAGTACTTACAGAAAAACGTCGGTTGTATGGTGAAGTGGCAAGAGGGTGAATCATTAGGAGGGAATATGCTGGTTCGATCTTCACTGTGGTTAAACTTTTTTGTTTTTTTTTTAAATGCTTCTCTTACAATATTTCGAAGGTTTCTGTAGATCATGGATTTGAATTTCGATTCGCAGAAATTTCTGGAAGCAGCAGAAAATTGCTATAAAAGGCAGAGTTTTCTTCATTTGTTCCATTTGTCTCGTTTTTAAAGCTATTATTCTTATCCTATTGTGATGTCGAAATTCCGTCGTGTTTTTACCTATATTCTGGATCTGGAAGTCAACCCTAAGCGTCAGCCATTGAATGAAGAGGATCTCAAGCTCGGGGCTTATTTGATTGACTTCGGTGAATCGATCGATAAGGGAGACTTTGATATAGAAGCGGAACAGCACCTTTTGGATTTCGAAGACGATCTACAGGATTTGAGTAAGTTTTCGTCTAGTAATTTTTACAAATGTTCCCGTTAGGTTGGAGTCCGGAGGACGATGAATTTCACAAAATCCAAATGTATCCCGATGTTGTTCATTTTCCTGGGAAACCAAATATGATTCAATTTGGACATGGAGAATTTGTGGAATTAGACAAAGTTCAGGAAACGGTCGCTTACTATGGATCCAGAACCGTATTTAACAATAATGGATCAAAACTCCGCCCAATTTTGAGCCAAGTTCAACATAAGTTTGGATTCATCAGGAATCGTAACCATTTGGACAAACTTTGGGAGTACGAGTCTCTGGGTAACAACTCCTTTTTTTCTTTTTCAAAAATAGATATTTTAAGGCTTCACAAAAGCAAATAGGAAGAACAATTTGGAGTTCATCTCGATGGAGCTAGAAAAGGAAGTCAGGATGCATATTGAAAACGGAAAAATACTCCACCACTCGGTTCTCCGCTTTTTGATTGCTGGTATCATCAAGGAATACAAAATCGACATCAAAAATTTCATTGGAACGGAAAGCTGGTTGAACGGTTGGAAAGCAAGATTAGGAATCACTTCAAGAAAGATCACGAAATTCGTTTCAACGGTTCGTCACAAAACGCGTGATCAGATTGAGAAGGATTCCAAGGAATTTGTGACGGCTGCCAACCTAGTTTTCCCATTGTATGATCCATCCACTATATAAAATGCGGACCAATCCGGATTCCAAATCGAGATGCATACGGCTCGAACGCTTACTTTGAAAGGATCAAAAAATGTCCATTGCGTTGTTGGAAGTGAATCGTCCACGACACATTCATACACCGTCCTTCCGTTGATTTCGGCATGTGGCAAGCTTCATCCAAAATTATTTGTGACCCTCAAAAAACCAAAAGGCCCATTCCCAAAAAAAGGTCACTTTCAAGCTCCAAACCTTGAAGTCAATTGTCACACTAGTCATATCATGACGAAAGAATTGATGAAAGTCTTCTTTCAAAAAATCATGTTTGACTCGTCTATGCCGAAGGATGCTCTTCTGATTGTAGATTTGTGGAACAGCTGGAAGGACACTGCCGCCATCGATTCGGTCACCCCTCCATCGCACAAATTGAAAATCTTGACGATTCCAGCTGGATGCACTGGGCGTATCCAACCATGTGATGTAGGCATTTTTGGATCCTTCAAGAAAGTTGTGAAGACACTCACAAACTATGCCCAGTTGACCAATAGCAACTACAAGTTCCAAACCAGTGATGAAACTCTGAAGGTCAGCTACCTATTTGTGAAACAGTTCACAAGTTAAAATTACAGCTCATCTCCCTCCTCTGGCGGCAGCTGTGTTCTCCGAAGCTCGAAAGCTGTGTTCTCCGAAGCTCGGCCCGGATTTTCAGACGAAGATTTTCAGCTTCCAGCTGAATCCGGGGGCTAGATATTTCTGTCATCATGTAGAAGATGTCTCGAACTATAAGTACTAAAATTTTCAAAAAATTCTCAAAGCCTTTCTGAAAACACTTCCCTTGTCAGTAATATTTCCCATCAACATCTTTTATTTCACTAACTTTTATGGGTACACGAATTTAAAATTTTTTGGATAAAATTGAAATAAGTCTCCTAACTCAAGGACTCGACATATATTTGAACACGTATATGTACGTTACTCGCACTGAGGAATCTGATAGATATGGTCCTCCGAGCCCTTTTTTGCAAAAACTGGCATTTTTTGAATTTGTTGGAACTCGATATTTTCATATACTTTTAGTGGTCCTGATTTTCTCTTTGAAGGTGGAGCATAAGTGTTCACTGCAAAAATGCTTATCAAGTTGTCACCTTCCAAATAGAAAAAAGTTTGACCGTCTATCGTAAACATGAAAAAAGTTATGATTGGTCAAAGGGTACCGACTCCAAACTCACGAAAAAAATTGAAATGCCTCACTGTTTGAACAGATCTTCAAACGGGCCGCTATAGTTTTGTGGTTGTTCTAGCTAGACTGTGTACCACTATTTAGCATAGGTTTTATCGAAATTCCGGTGTAACATTTGGGAGCCTTCCCTTGTTAGTTAACACTTCAATTTCAGTGGAGCGACAGAAAACACTGTTGTTGTCAGAGAACGCCGAATATTATAACAAAGAAACTCGTCACGACAAAGACTCGGAAAGGAAAAGAATCGCTCGAGCACCACCACCTACCACCATACCATACCACCTAATCACCACTTTTCCAAACATTTTGATAATTTTTCGAAGAACAAAAGTTGATTATTTATTAACAATTCGTTTTGCTGAAGTTGTGTTCATGTGACACAAAAAACATAATTTTTGAAACATCTTAATATAAAGCGTGCAGCGAAATCGAGCACACGAGAAGTCCGGAAAAATCTCATATTCAGAAAGGAAGCAAATAAAGCATGAATGAAAAAATGCGATGCCAAATAGAGATGTTGACATTGTCAGGGATGATTTATTCATTGCTTTTCAAGAACAACTCCTGGAATGGCCCACCGACAACATCTGAAAAAATTTTAAAAAGTAGAGAAAGATTATTCATAATGTTTACCTCTTTCCGGATCAATTCGGAATTGTAATTTGTCGCCCTTTCCAACTTTGACGGGTGGTTGTGTTTTGTTGAAAGTCCACACGTATTTGTCATTATCCATCTTGTCCCAACCAACAGGTTTGACCGTTGAACCTCTATGAAAGTCATATTCGAGGACATGACCTTCCCACCCATAGAGACAATAGGCAGCTGTCTCGAAGCACGAAAAAATATCATAGGGGTTCTTCTGCAACAATAAATTTTTTAAACTTTGAAATCGAATAACAATTGTCTCTTACAACATATGACGAAGTCTTCAGGCTGATGATGTTTCCCAAAAAAAGTTGTCGGACATAAATTTTGGATCGCCCAGTTTCCACCTGCAGTTTTTCGTGTGAAAAACATATATGACAATAAAAGTATGAAGTAACTCACGGAGTATATCACTTCGCATCTGGATGAACAGTTTTTCGGAGAGACGTAGCATTGCGAGTTTGGCTCACAGACGTTCTGAAAGAAATCACTATGCATTTATGGATGAAAGTCTGGACAAATTTTAATTCGAAAATTTCGAAAATGGTGAATGTGAAAATGGGCATTATAATGAAAAAATGTTACAAAAGTTAATGTTAACCATTTTAACTATTACACTGGATATGAGAACTATTCAAAATTACTACTTTTTTCAGAATAAATAATTGTGTTTCAAACTCACCGAAACATCATAAATGGGGTCATTATCTGGGGTTGTGCTTGTGATCGGCTGAATCGTTGTGGACGAATGTTCTTCCTGAACTTCTTCCTCTTCTTCGTGCTCCTCCGTCTTTTCTTGTTCTTCCTCGTTTTTGTGCATTTCCTCTTCATATTTTTCTTTCTCTTCGAGAATCGAAGATTCCGACAATTCTGAGATGAGAATTACTTTATTAAAAAAAACGAATAAATTATACCTGGAATTGTTGTGTTCATAAGATTATCAGAATTTGAATGCGACAATGTTGCGACAGATCCTTCTTTTCCATCCGTATTGTCTTTCATGTCTTGGGGAAGGCCAAACGTAGACAAAGTTGGAGCAGGAGTCTCGATGTCTGCAGAAGTTGGGAGCGAATGATTCGTGGTATGCAAATCCAAATCCGATTGCTCTTTCTGAACCATTTCTTTTTCTTCAAGGATTGACGGTTTCTCAGATGTTGCGTATAAAATGTGTTGTTCCTTTGTTACTGGATTCAATAATGTTTTGCGTGAGTCCAAAACGGTTGAGACAGGTGGCGCTGAGTTGGGTGGATTTGTCTGTTTTCTGGAAGGCGAGAAAACTGTTAAAGGCAAGAAGATTTTTTCCAAGTTCAGAGCGGTTGAGATCGGTGGATATGAGCTGAGTGGCTTGTTCGGAATCAATGACTTCAAAAATGTTCCGAAGGAGTTGAGAGCACTTGAGAAAGGGGGCGCTGAGCTGGGTGCGATCGGCTGGTTTGGAATCACAGGAGTCCAGAAATTTTTACTGAGGTTCATAATGGATGAGGACCGTGGTACTGAGCTTCGTGGAACAGTCTGCTTCGAAGGGACGGAAGGCGAGAATATATTGGCAAAGTTCAGCAAGTTTGAGATCGGTTGAGTTGAGCTGAGTGGCTTCTTCGGTATCACTGATGTCCAGAATGAATTGAAGGAATCGAGAGCGGTTGAAAACGGATCCGCTGAGCTGGATGGATTTTTAATTGCCGGCGAAGCGATAGAGTGCTGGCAATTCATCAGCAAGCTGAGAATCGGTAGTATGTACAACCACATGATATCTGCAAAAAACCCATATTATGAAACTGAGAACCTTTTACAATTTTGAAGAAATCAGGTGAAGAATTCAGTGGAACAAAAATATTTTTTGTCGAAACACTCCGAGTTCGTCCGCAAAAAAACTGCTGGAACGCGCAGCTTCATAACTGAAGAGATAGAATGGCAAAACTTGATGTGTACTTGGCTCCTCCTTCTTTTGATAAGCTCCTCCTTTTACATGTTCTTCTTCTTCTTCGTGCTCTAGATTTTTCTGAACATCAAGAGCTTTAGATGCATTGTTAAGCACGCAATGTCGCATGCATACCATAAAATTAGCTGACATATCTACGGACAGATACTTTTTGCTCGGAACGAAATTAGCTTTTGGGAGCCCCAAAAGTTTCAGATGCATTGGTGAACACGCAATCTGGCATGCATGAGGGCAATGTGTCAAGTTGACTGACAGGTCTTCTGGTCGTTTTTTGAGAATAAAGTTTTCTTTTTGTGCACACGATGTTCCAAGAGAAACGGAAAACCCGTTTCGGAGCTTGAAACAGAGCTTGAAACAACGCAGGGATTACAGAAAATTTTTTAAAAGGTGACCCGCCAAAGAGAACAAAAAAAACACATACCGTAAAACCTGTATTAAAAGGGCCGAGCCTTCTATTTTTCCAAAGTACCTTCGGAGGACCTTTCTATTACAGGGGTCCTCTAATTAGAGGGGCCCTTCTATTTTCCTGCTGTTTTGCCCAAAATTTTTTATCAAAAAATTCGACTAATTTTTTTATAATACAAAATTCATGAAAATCGATTTTATCAAAATTGAGCAAGTGTTTTATTTAAAAAAAGTTTTCAACAGATTTCTATTAAATTGTGGAATTCCAGGAACATTTTTTTTACTGAAAACGTACGAAAGTGTTTTAATTTCAAGGCACATATTGGAGGAAGTCCTTCTTCACAGGGGCCCTTCTATTAAAGAGTCCCTTCTAATACAGGTTGTACGGTCATTGTTTCTTATTTGGTGGGTTGCTGACACTGTATGGTGATATAAGTCGAAATGAGAAATTTGTATTTGTAAAGGGTATCCTGTTCAAAAATCTCTTTAGAATTTTCTTTGAATTGACTCATTTATGGTTTCAGGCTTCTACGTAAATTTCTGGTTTCTACGTAAGATAAGTGGCTACCTGTAACTCTCGCTGATATTCAAAAAACTTCCATCTGAAAATATGGGATTTTTGCTTCTCTCTTCACTTCCATTCTCGTCCCCTTTCATGACAGTGTTGTGCACATAAGCGAAACATGCCTCGGTATGATTTTCCTATCAAAATGTCTTTCGGAGTTTGTATTTTCAGATTATTCACAAATTTTTAACGGAAACATTTTTTTGACCCAATTATGTGTAGTACTGTATTAAAGCTCTCTTCACATCGTAGGTTATTTTGATGATTCTAAAAAACCAGAAAGTATACATTCGATGACATAATAATGTGAAAACAGGTAGTGAGATAGCGGAGTAATAAAGAGACGCAGAGAATCCAGGTGGGTGGAGTGGGCGGAGTCTCTTGACGCCATGTGATGGTGGTGGTCCTCATATTCAGTTGTTTTCTCATAATCTTTTTTCTTTGTCATACGATAGTTCATTGATTTTTTGGCTCTCCTGAGTCATATTCCTGATCGCTGGAACCTTCTTGATTCTATTCTATTATTCTTTGATTTTTCAGTTTTCAAAAACTATCATCACCATGGCTAGAATTAGAGTCACCACTGCCCAAAATGCTCAGACCAATGCGGACATCAAGAAGAAGATCCAAACCCTCGGAGAAGAACTCTCCGCTGCCATCAAGGCCCATCAGAAGTCCTCTGACGATGTGAGAAAATTTCAACAGCAAAAAGAAGAATCAAGTGACAACATGGGACGCCTTTCATATGTTAAAGGGATGACTCGGACAGCTTACGCAGCACTCAAGAAGCAAGTCAAGAAGCAAAGGGAGATCCACGAGAACATCGTCAATCAACTGGAGAAGGCGTTGGAGGTGGAGAAATCGGCGAAGGATGCGATGGAGGAGGCTGAAGCGGAGTGAAAGTTCGAGGCCATGTGTTCGGGAGAAGTTTACCGAGAGGACGGGCAGTGGAAGTGGAGAGAGTGACTGGTAATCTACTTCGACCCTTTCTTCTTGTAAATTATTTTTTTATCAAATTCCTTTCACGGATCTATTTTTTCATTTTCTGAATCTCATTTTCTTGTATTTTTTTTCGAAATGTACGATACGTTCTCTGTGACACTCAATTCTATTGTCCATTGTACAGAAAAACTCAAACTTAATGTTTTCATTGATATCATCATCATTCTAATAATAAATTTTTAAAGATTTGAAAACATGTGTTATATAAATGCACAAAAACAAGTTTGGATTTTCTGTACATCTCTTTTTTTGGTTCTGACGGAAAACGCGTCTCAAATCTTATTAGATAGCAGGGCACCCGTCTGTTGACCTCTCCCTCTAATTTGGTCATCCACACTCTGGTTCACGCATTGTATCCAGTTTAGTAACTCAATATCCCCTCCCACCTGGCGATCAACCAGCACAGACGCATTATTAACAGAAGTACAGCAGAAGGGGGAGGGGGTACTGTATGAAAAGAGGCGACTAGTTATGACTATCACTCCGAAGTTTCGGGAAGTGTAAAACAGAGCTAGACTGAAAACTTCACATTCCCCGAACATTTTGAGGATTCCTAATTTTTCAGCTATTTGTTGACTTCTGAAAAACGTCTGTTTTTTTTAAATTTCAGTTCAAAAACTAACCAAGATGGGTGTTTCCCAGAAAAAGGCAAATATCCCAAACTTCAAGGTGGCCGGAATTTTGACAAACTAGCTCCAGACATCTCTTCATGTTCAGAAGATTTTCTGCACCACCACCAATCCCACCCAGTGCCTCCTGCACACGACCACTTGGACACGCACATCTGGACAGGTGTCTTGTATGTGTCTTAACGTGTCATAATGGCCAGAAAACCATATGTAGAGTCTTCCCAAAATCATAGCGACCCTACAGAGATTGACCGCACCGTGAAAATGTCTTATCCTTTCGTTATCTAATTTCTGCCATCTAACTGAAAAATTCTCAAAAATTTATCAAAAAAAAAACTTTTTTTTGAAAAATTTCGACCAAAAAAGACCTGTTCGGGCCTTCCGGGCCTAACCGGGCCTTCAACGATTTTTGCAAGTATGCAAAAAACCCATGTAATGGAAAGTAAAATTTCTGAGGTTATGAATTCGAATGGTTGAAACTTTTGAATGGGTCAAGAGATTATTTCAAAATTTTGAAGATATATTTAAAATGTATTTGAGTGATGGTGGCACGCCTTGTGATGGTAGTAGACCTCATATTCGGTTGTGTTCTCATTCTCTTTTTTTTTGCCTTCAGCCAGACGATTATATTTCATTGTTTTTTTGCTTCTGAATTATATTTCTGACCTCTAGAACCTTCTTGATTCTATTCTACTTTTCTTTGATTTCTCAGTTTTCAGAATCCACTATAACCATGGTCCAAACTAGAGCCACCGCTGCTAAAAATGCCGAGACCAATGCTGACATCAAGAAGAAAATCAAAATTCTCGAAGAACAATACTCCACTGCCACCGAAGCTCATTAGAAGGCGACGGACAATGTGAAGAGACTCCAACAGCAACAAGAAGCAACACGTAACAACTATCATCTTCTGATTAATTTAATTGTTTGCGAGAGGCGTCCGAATAAATTGGTGCCGATGTACAGAAGACGAAAAAATCAGCAGTATAGGATCCTCACGAAGATTTCGAAGGAACTGGAGAAGGCGTTGAAGGTCGAGAACTTGGCGATGGAGGCCATGGAAGATGCTGAAGCGGTATGGAAGTTCGAGGCCATGTTCTCTGGAGAAGCTTACCAAGAGGACGGGGAGTGGAAGCGGAGAGAATGATTCGTGATCTCTCTTCACCCTTTTTTCTTGTCATCTTTTAATCAACTTCCTTTCACGAATCTCTCTATTCCACCCTCCCCGAAGTATCATTTCAAAAATCTCGTCTTCTTTTTTCTAATGTAAACAAGAAATTATACTTATCTAAACCATAATACTATTCTAAACATTACATTGTATGCCTAACAAGCCTTTTTTCAGAATGATTTTCCATTGGAATACTGTGTTTCAAGTAGGTCGTTTCAAGGCGGTAATAAATCAGAATTGTTTCACAAAATATACCACAGTTTGAAATTTTTAAAGAATACGAATTTTCTAATTTTGAGAAATCTTCATTCTGGATTAAATCAACTTTTTTTGATAGTTCCTAATAATAAATAAGACCTTGTTTGTTTTTTTTCCGGACGAAACTAACTGTTCACATTCTATACCTTCTCCCAGTTGGTTCCAATACCCCTTTGGGCAAAGAAAGACGTACTTCGTCGGTAGGTATGAGCTCATAATTGCTTCTAAAGCTAAGCTCATAATTGCTCCTTCCGCGTTTGATTAATTCCCAAGGCACAGGGTTGCAACCGGCCGGANCTGACAAACACGTGGAAGCTCATATTCGTAAGTTGAAACTTCAAAAAAAAAAGAATAAACTTTTTCCATTTCCCAGATGAGCACGAACTTCCCAAAAAATCAAAACCCATGCCTTCTTCAAGTGTTCCGAAGATGCAAGCCAAGCAGTTAACAGTATCTGACAAAAAGATTGTGGAGGAACATTTGCAAGCTCTCGATGCAAGAGGACAGTCTAAACTGCCAGCTAGCAAACAGAAAATGACAACATACTTAAACGTTGGTTGGGATGATATTGCTGCCAAAGTCAAAGCAGTGCTGTCCGGAAGTGCTGGTGGTGCAATGTAAGTTTTCAAAAAAACGATTTATTCGAAAAATGTATTGGTTTTAGAACTGAAAAACTGATCGACGGAA